TGATCCCACACGGGCTGCCCACAGGCAGCAGCTCCTCAAGCACTGCTCCCACACGGCTCCGTCCCACGGGCTCCATCCATCCATCCATCCATCCATCCATCCCCCAGGAGCAAACTGCTCCAGCACGGGTCCCCCATGGCTGGGCGGCAGCTCCCCCCAGACCCCCTGCTCCTGCGGGGGCTCCTCTCCACGGGGGGGCTGCAGCTGCGGCCCGGGGCCTGCTCCTGCCCTGCGGGGGCTCTCCATGGGCCGCAGCCTCCTCCAGGCTACATCCACCTGCTCCACATGGGGCTCCTCCACCCACGGGGGGGCTGCAGCGTGGAGATCTGCTCCGTGAGGGACCCATGGGCTGCAGGGGGACAGCCTGCTCCACCGGGGGCACAGCCCGCAGGGGAACTGCTGCTGCCTGCTTGCTGCACCTCCTGCCCTCCTGCTGCACTCCCCTGGGGGGCTGCAGGGCTGCTTCTCCTCTCTTTCTCCCTGGGAAGCAGCTTTTTTTTGTTATTTTTGTTCTCCTTTCTTCAATATGCTCTCACAGAGGAACAAGCGACATCGTTTCTTGGCTTGGCTCTGGCCAGCAGTGGAGCCGTTATCTAACGTGGGGCAGCTTCTAGATTCTTCTCACGGAAGCCACCCCTATGGCCCCCTGCTACCAAAACCTTGCCACGTACACCCACCAGAGCAACTCTTTCGGTGAAGAAATTTTTCGTAAGAACCAACCGAAACCTCCCCTGGTACAACCTAAGGGGTTTTGTTCTTGTCTTGTCACCTGGGGCCTGGGAGAAGAGAACGATCCCCACCTCTCTGGAGCCTCCTTTCAGCTTCCTGTAGAGCACAGGAAGGTCTCCCCTGAGCCTCCTTTTCTCCAGGCTGAACAAGCCCAGCTCCCTCAGCCGCTCCTCACCAGACTTGTTCTCTAAACCCTTCACAAGCTTCAGAGCCCTTCTCCGCACACGCTCCAGCACCTCGAGGTCTTCGCTGAACACAGTGCTCGAGGTGCGGCCTCACCAGAGCCGAGCACAGAGGGACAACCGCTTCCCTAGTGCTGAGGGCCACTCTAGGTCTGATACAAGCCAGGTGTAGAGATATTTACAGACATATATATGCAGCACTAGTACATGTTCCTTGGAACACTGGTCCAACTCTCTTCAAACCCCGTAAATTGATGGTTTCCTCTAACTGGCACTGGATCCTCTAAATCCCATGTTACTACTGCTTCTGCTTCCCAAGCAGGTGACGGAAACTCCTAAGCGGAGAGCAGAGGAGTTGTAGTTCTGCATCCAGGAAATATTTGGAAGTTTGGAAGATGCTTCCCTTGCTCAGTTGCCATCCCTACGTTAATCAGTCAGCCGATCTTTTGCCTTCCAGCAAAAGTCTTGATGCAGTTCTTAAGGAAAGTTCTTTCTGAAAATCCTCAGCCACCTCTGTGCACGCCCAACCTTTCATGGCACTGTGCAATGCGCGGATGGCAGCGATAAATCAGGTTGTGGAATGAAGGGCAACGTGTGGGGAGGGAATTTGCAGGTGGCTTCGCAGCTGTTTCGCAGGTCCCTGAATTAGAGGTAACGAGTAAACACGCGGTAGAAACAAAAACTTGAGCCAGGCTGAGATGAAGAATTGAAGTGTTAAAGAGGACCTTTGGGCAGTGGGCAATTGCTGGCTGGCTCCAGGCGCGTGTCTGAGGGTCTCTGACCAACTGTATGATAGATTTGGGCGCGTGGACAGCACGTGGGGCTACGGGGAGAGGACATGTAGGAGTGAAAAAGGGCAATAAACGCCTCCTGTTCCAGAGCCATCAGGAGTCTGTGTCTTGCATCCCTTCAGCAACACAAATATTTGGCTCCAGATCCAAAATGTCATGTATTTGGCAATTTTATTTATGGCAGCACTCCCCTCCCCTCCCCTCCCTTCCCTTCCCCTCCCCTCCCTTCCCCTCCCCTCTTTTGCTTTTCCTCCCCTCCCCTCCCCTCTTTTGCTTCCCCTCCCCTCCCCTCTTTTGCTTCCCCTCCCCTCCCCTCCCCTCTTTTGCTTCCCCTCCCCTCCCCTCCCCTCTTTTGCTTCCCCTCCCCTCCCCTCCCCTCTTTTGCTTCCCCTCCCCTCCCCTCCCCTCTTTTGCTTCCCCTCCCCTCCCCTCCCCTCCCCTCCCCTCCCCTCCCCTCCCCTCCCCTCTTTTGCTTTCCCTCCCCTCCCCTACCCTACCCTACCCTACCCTACCCTACCCTACCCTACCCTACCCTACCCTACCCTATACTCTCCTATGCTCCCCTCCCCTCTACCACGCTACACTACGCTATGCTACCCTACGCTATGCTATGCTATGCTACACTACCCTATCCTCCCCTCCCCTCCCCTCCCCTCCCCTACACTACCCTATACTCTCCTATGCTCCCCTCCCCTCTACCACGCTACACTACGCTATGCTACCCTACGCTATGCTATGCTATGCTACACTACCCTATCCTACCCTCCCCTCCCCTCCCCTCTTTTGCTTCCCCTCCCCTCCCCTCCCCTCTTTTGCTTCTCCTCCCCTCCCCTACACTACCCTGTACTCTCCTATGCTCCCCTCCCCTCTACCACGCTACACTACGCTATGCTACCCTACGCTATGCTATGCTATGCTACACTACCCTATCCTACCCTCCCCTCCCCTCCCCTCTTTTGCTTCCCCTCCCCTCCCCTCCCCTCTTTTGCTTCTCCTCCCCTCCCCTACACTACCCTGTACTCTCCTATGCTCCCCTCCCCTCTACCACGCTACACTACGCTATGCTACCCTACGCTATGCTATGCTATGCTACACTACCCTATCCTACCCTCCCCTAACCTCCCCTCTTTTGCTTTCCATCCCCTCCCCTATGCTCCCTGTCCCTACACTCTGCTACACTCCCCTCCCCTGCCCTCCCCTACACACCCCTACACTCCCCTCCCCTATCCTACCCTACACTCCCCTTCGCTACACTACCCTACACTACCCTACATTACCCTATGCTCCCCTGCCCTGCCCTGCCCTGCCCTGCCATGCCCTCCCCTCCCCTCCCCTCCCCTCCCCTCCCCTCCCCTCTCCTCCCCTCCCCTCCCCTCTTTTGCTTTCCCTCCCCTCCCCTATGCTCCCTGTCCCTACACTCTGCTACACTCCCCTCCCCTGCCCTCCCCTACACACCCCTACACTCCCCTCCCCTATCCTACCCTACACTCCCCTTCGCTACACTACCCTACACTACCCTACATTACCGTATGCTCCCCTCCCCTATCCTCCCCTCCACTCCCCTACACTACCCTTCGCTACACTACCCTACACTACCCTATACTCTCCTATGCTCCCCTCCCCTCTACCACGCTACACTGCGCTACACTACGCTATGCTACCCTACGCTATGCTATGCTATGCTATGCTATGCTATGCTACACTACCCTATCCTACCCTCCCCTAACCTCCCCTACACTATCTTCCCCTGCCCTGCCCTGCCCTCCCCTTCCCTCCCTTCCCCTTCCTTCCCCTTCCTTCCCCTTCCCTCCCCTCCCTTCCTTTTATTCCCTCCCCTTCCCTCCCCTCTTGTCTTCTTCCCTCCTCTTTTCTTTCTTTCAGGTATCTTCAGATCACTTCAGTCGTTCTCATAGCTCCTATCCCTGGCTGATTCGTGGGAACCCATCAGCAGCAACCAGAAGCGCTCCAGCTGCTGTGTCACTGGTCGAGGAACAGTCTCCAACTGGCAATCGCTGACTTCGTTGTGTGGCTCAGACAGGTGCCTTGCAGTTCCAGCGTGGCCTGGACGTGTCCTCTTGCTGTGTCCCCACCTACAGCGCAGTTCTGCTTAGAAGCAGCAGCAGGCTTTGGAAGATGTCCCACTCCTTCCATTTTCAATGGGTTAGCTTGGCTAGCCGGGTGGTGTCTGTCAATAGAAGACAACAAAGAGATTTGGGTTAGAAACAGCTAACTGAGTAGTTCCTTTGCACAAGGGCAAGGAATATTTACCCCTTCCTAATGGAGACTGCAGTGTCAGAGATAATGACGGGTCCTTCAGAGAGCTTTGAAATATCCCTTGGCGATGCTGAGTCCAGAGGACCAGAGGAAATCTGTCTAAAGTACGCCATGGAAGCACTCTGAATTACTTCCTAGCATAGAAGCATCTCTGCTGATACGGCTTCAGCTGGTTGCGGTGTTCTTCTTCACCTAATACCTAAATTCAGATAAGAGGTCTCAATGCAGATGGGAAGATTGAGAAATATAGAAATCACTGATGTGCTTTGAGAACTTCTAAGAACTGAGAACTACATCAATCCAATGTTGTAACATTAAGGCTTGGTTAGAAAAGTAAACGTTAAAAACAAGTAAAGGAGAAGGACAAGTAAGCTTTCTTAAAGGATCTACTATATTTAAAGGATCTTTAAATAAGTAAATAAGTAATGAAATATATGCGCAGAGAGAGAGAGAGAGAGAGAGAGAGAGAGATAGATAGATATACAGAAACCTAAGAAACTGCTGCGCAGGTTAGCTTCTTGCTCTCTTTTCTCAAAGTGCTAGTGAATACAGCATCTGTGAGTGTTACAAGCATTACCCTCAGTCCACCACAGGTACACACGAGAGGACAGCCTGCAGGTTGCGGAGGCAAAGAAACTGCTCTGGCTGGATGTGAAGAGCCAAGACAGAAGTTGCTGTCAGGGAAAAGATACACAGAGGGGATGAAAAAGACGGAGTGTGCTTCCGACCTTCACAACTTCTGAGCAAGCGGAGATGAGGGTGTGGAAGAACCAAATAAGCTGTTGATCGAGAAGCAGCCTGAAGACTGTCCTTAAGCAGGGCCTTGCATTCTTTGTTTTTAGAGCATTGCTTGCCTTCAAGTGCACGATCATGATTTTATTAACTTTCTACCACTACAGAAATGCACCGGATTCTTTCGCAAAACTTACGGGTGGTAATTGGAAATACTGGTCAGCATTCTCTATTTCCTTCTTCCTCTCAATTCTCTTTTGGCCTGTGAAGCTTTTCAGATCAGAGGAGAAGATCCGCTGTAACACGGAGTTTTGGATACTGCAAAGGAAACGAAGAATCGTACTGACAACTCTTTTCAACCTCACCTGCAACCATCACAGAAAAGAATAGCGAAAGAATGCCGCTTTATCATGGGAAGCATAAATTTGAGCATAGGTGTCCCCTAGCTGAAGCGAGGTGAAGCAGGTTCCAAACAAGGTGAAGGAGCACACCCAGAAGCATTTCCATAAAGCTGTTTTCAAACAAATGCTTTAAAGACTTAGATTTTCTTACAAGCGAAGAATGAAAAAATAAAAAGAAATAAAATTACCTGGACATCCAGTTTTCCTCTAGCTTGCTTTGCTTCTTTCAGAATCTGAGTCTGGAGTGACAGTCAGGGAGCAGCACTGTGCAGAAATGCCAAAGCCTCCCCAGCTTGTTGTACCTTCATCAACAAGGCCTTTGATACTGCCGCCTCCTCAGCAACATCAGCAATTTCCTAGGAAAGCTGGTGTCCACCAGGTCAAATAGGAATGGGAAACCCCTCTTGCCACAGCTTCACACTCACACCAGAGTCGGCAGGACAGGCCGATGGACAGAGAAGTGTCTGTAAGAGTGTTAGAAAACAGACTTGAAACAGATTTCCGCCAACCCAGGAAAAATTACTTGCTCATCCCTTCAAACTGAACTCTCAGTAGAAGGAGGTGATCCCAAGCTGCAGTCCTGACATCTATGCTGCAAAGTCATCGAATGCGCCATGTTACTGTACCAGCCATGTTATGAACAGAAACAGGACTTTGAGGTTATGCTGTTTGAGTAGAATTAAGCTCAAAGAGTTAGTCCTTCGGTATGTTTTTGTCTGCAAGTGTTTTCACTGTCTCCCAGACAATGTCTCCAGCAAGCTAGCTGCTTGTTTCATTTGTTCTGTGCTGTTTTGTTTTCTCAGGAAGGATTCTTAGAGAAATGAGATTAAAGTGATCATCTTGTGTGTCCATCCATCCCTCCCTGCCCTTCGCTTGTCCAGAGCTTTTACCTTGTCCACCAGCTTGAATGAACTCGCTCCTAGGCGCAGTTGTGTCCAAGCCATTCTGTTGCTAGGCGTGTTGTGCAAACAGACAGCGAAGTGGTGGGGAGAGGTCACACTGTCTGCAGTGTGACCTCAGCGCTTACCAAACAGTAGGGAATACACAGAGAAGGGCGTTAGGAAAACTTCAAGCCCCACATACATTTTACGCGGAAACCATGTTTCCCAAGATAACACTGGACACAACTGCATAATCAAAATGGATTCATTTCTTGGTTCATCCAACTCCTAGGTTTTAGTTTGAAAAAGTTTCTGTCTTGGCTTAAAGCACTCTTCCAATCTCTGTTTCCAGTTACTATGATTTCCTGAAATAGCTAATCCCATTTTTGTCTTTGTACAATCTCCCAGTCTCTTTGTTTTCCTCTCCCCAAGAAACTTAGAACTGCTCTCTTCATACTTGACAACTAGATATGGATCTGGATCAGCCAGAAGGAAGTTTCCTTCACACTTTCCGCTTCTTACGGTATCTGGACTCTTACCTTTACTCTTACTCGCCCTTCCTACATTAGCACAAAGAAAGCTGGTTTGGAGATCTGACGTCTTGTTCTCCAGAAGCTACCCTGAATCACCCTTACGAGAGCTGTCCCACGCTGCGAGCATAAGTCTTGAAGTCTGGCCAGATATTTGCTTTCTAAGTCGATAATCAAATCTGTCAAGTAAGAACATGGAATTAATGGAAAGGAAATCCTTTTATTTTGATCCGAATCCCCCCCCCCCCTTTTTTTTTTTATTATTTTTTTTTCTAGACCAAGAGTGAATCATGGGAAACCAGCAAAACTCTGGTGAAAAATGAAATGAAAAATGTTAAGGTCAGGCAGCTTGCCCACTGCAATTGCTACCCTGAAAGCAGATGGAGTGCATCTTCATATACCACAGCCTGAGACACTACACGACAGGCCAGCCCATGTGATGAAGTCCATTGCTGTCCTGAATTTTAACATGACAGGGGGACTCTTAAGCCTCTTGTTTATGCTTTAGTACTTGCGGTCTATGGGAGGACCACAGCAGACTCTTCTCTGTCTACCCTTATTTGTTGATCGTCTGTAGGAAGAAGAGAACGTGCAGAGGCCCTCCCCCGTACATTGGGTCTGTTCTCACTCTGTGCAGCTCCATCATTGAGCAAAGTACCAAACTTGATGCTTCTGTAAGGACTTGACACAAACTACAGAATACTAAAATGAAGCATTCACAACAAAACCACATTGGTTTCTTCAGCCAAGCATCAAAACACTTACAGAAGGGCATGGGCCCTCTCTGTGCACCTCAAGCTGACATGCACAAATCCTCACGTGGTTTCATCACACCCAGCACCCTTCTCTGTGCCTCCCAGCTAAACGTGCCCAGAGGCAGCTGTTCCCAAAGTGCTGTGGTGACATCATTCAGGTCTGTTTCTGAAGTCATCACCGCAGGCGCCTCCCAGTGACGGCACAACACTCTCTGTTGCTAACGCGTCTGTCTCAGAAACAGCTAGAGAAGTACCACTATGCCCAAACTGACTTGAATTAGAGTAGTTCCCAAATTATTCTCTGCTCCCCTACATCTGTGGAAGGTGTGTGATCAATCTGTTCCTTGAGAAAGGATTACAGACAAAAAGAGCTTAATTCTGATACGTTGCCCGTACTTGGAGAGCAGTTCACCTTTGATTTCCATGTAAGAAAAAAGAAGGGGAAATCAACAATTCTCTTCCTCCGAGCTGGCAATAGGAAAGAACCCCAATTATCCAGGAAGCCGTAATAAGGAAACTATGCATCTCCTTGTTAAACATCTTGTTTCTTCGGAAAACTTTTCCAGTCCTTTGCAACTGCGGTGGTCTGAATCGGGTGGGCAGCCGAGTTCCACCACGGCCGCTCTCTCACTCCCCCTCCTGAAAAAGAAAGGGGGAGAAAATACGATGCAAAGGGCTCAAGGGCTGAGATAAGGACAGGGAGATCGCTCAATGATTGTCGTGACGAGCAAAGCAGACTCAGCATAGGGAGATAGTAAGAGTTATTGCCTACTACCAACAAACTAGACACGTGAGAAACAAAGGAAAGAAACCCAAAGCGTCTTCTCCCCATCTGCCCTCTTCCACCTCCTCCTCCTGAGCAGCGCAGGGAAACAGGGGACTGAGGGCTGCGGTCAGTCCCTGATGCTTTGTCCCCGCCGCTCCTGCTCGCTCCCTCCCTGCCCCTGCTCCCCGTGGGGTCCCTCCCACGGGATGCCGTCCTTCCCCAGCTGATCCCACACGGGCTGCCCACAGGCAGCAGCTCCTCAAGCACTGCTCCCACACGGCTCCGTCCCACGGGCTCCATCCATCCATCCATCCATCCATCCCCCAGGAGCAAACTGCTCCAGCACGGGTCCCCCACGGCTGGGCGGCAGCTCCCCCCAGACCCCCTGCTCCTGCGGGGGCTCCTCTCCACGGGGGGGCTGCAGCTGCGGCCCGGGGCCTGCTCCTGCCCTGCGGGGGCTCTCCATGGGCCGCAGCCTCCTCCAGGCTACATCCACCTGCTCCACTGGGGGCTCCTCCACCCACGGGGGGGCTGCAGCGTGGAGATCTGCTCCGTGAGGGACCCATGGGCTGCAGGGGGACAGCCTGCTCCACCGGGGGCACAGCCCGCAGGGGAACTGCTGCTGCCTGCTTGCTGCACCTCCTGCCCTCCTGCTGCACTCCCCTGGGGGGCTGCAGGGCTGCTTCTCCTCTCTTTCTCCCTGGGAAGCAGCTTTTTTTTGTTATTTTTGTTCTCCTTTCTTCAATATGCTCTCACAGAGGAACAAGCGACATCGTTTCTTGGCTTGGCTCTGGCCAGCAGTGGAGCCGTTATCTAACGTGGGGCAGCTTCTAGATTCTTCTCACGGAAGCCACCCCTATGGCCCCCTGCTACCAAAACCTTGCCACGTACACCCACCAGAGCAACTCTTTCGGTGAAGAAATTTTTCGTAAGAACCAACCGAAACCTCCCCTGGTACAACCTAAGGGGTTTTGTTCTTGTCTTGTCACCTGGGGCCTGGGAGAAGAGAACGATCCCCACCTCTCTGGAGCCTCCTTTCAGCTTCCTGTAGAGCACAGGAAGGTCTCCCCTGAGCCTCCTTTTCTCCAGGCTGAACAAGCCCAGCTCCCTCAGCCGCTCCTCACCAGACTTGTTCTCTAAACCCTTCACAAGCTTCAGAGCCCTTCTCCGCACACGCTCCAGCACCTCGAGGTCTTCGCTGAACACAGTGCTCGAGGTGCGGCCTCACCAGAGCCGAGCACAGAGGGACAACCGCTTCCCTAGTGCTGAGGGCCACTCTAGGTCTGATACAAGCCAGGTGTAGAGATATTTACAGACATATATATGCAGCACTAGTACATGTTCCTTGGAACACTGGTCCAACTCTCTTCAAACCCCGTAAATTGATGGTTTCCTCTAACTGGCACTGGATCCTCTAAATCCCATGTTACTGCTTCTGCTTCCCAAGCAGGTGACGGAAACTCCTAAGCGGAGAGCAGAGGAGTTGTAGTTCTGCATCCAGGAAATATTTGGAAGTTTGGAAGATGCTTCCCTTGCTCAGTTGCCATCCCTACGTTAATCAGTCAGCCGATCTTTTGCCTTCCAGCAAAAGTCTTGATGCAGTTCTTAAGGAAAGTTCTTTCTGAAAATCCTCAGCCACCTCTGTGCACGCCCAACCTTTCATGGCACTGTGCAATGCGCGGATGGCAGCGATAAATCAGGTTGTGGAATGAAGGGCAACGTGTGGGGAGGGAATTTGCAGGTGGCTTCGCGCTGTTTCGCAGGTCCCTGAATTAGAGGTAACGAGTAAACACGCGGTAGAAACAAAAACTTGAGCCAGGCTGAGATGAAGAATTGAAGTGTTAAAGAGGACCTTTGGGCAGTGGGCAATTGCTGGCTGGCTCCAGGCGCGTGTCTGAGGGTCTCTGACCAACTGTATGATAGATTTGGGCGCGTGGACAGCACGTGGGGCTACGGGGAGAGGACATGTAGGAGTGAAAAAGGGCAATAAACGCCTCCTGTTCCAGAGCCATCAGGAGTCTGTGTCTTGCATCCCTTCAGCAACACAAATATTTGGCTCCAGATCCAAAATGTCATGTATTTGGCAATTTTATTTATGGCAGCACTCCCCTCCCCTCCCCTCCCTTCCCTTCCCCTCCCCTCCCCTCCCTTCCCCTCCCCTCTTTTGCTTTTCCTCCCCTCCCCTCCCCTCTTTTGCTTCCCCTCCCCTCCCCTCTTTTGCTTCCCCTCCCCTCCCCTCTTTTGCTTCCCCTCCCCTCCCCTCCCCTCTTTTGCTTCCCCTCCCCTCCCCTCCCCTCTTTTGCTTCCCCTCCCCTCCCCTCTTTTGCTTCCCCTCCCCTCCCCTCCCCTCCCCTCCCCTCTTTTGCTTTCCCTCCCCTACCCTACCCTACCCTACCCTACCCTACCCTACCCTACCCTACCCTACCCTACCCTACCCTACCCTATACTCTCCTATGCTCCCCTCCCCTCTACCACGCTACACTACGCTATGCTACCCTACGCTATGCTATGCTATGCTACACTACCCTATCCTCCCCTCCCCTCCCCTCCCCTCCCCTACACTACCCTATACTCTCCTATGCTCCCCTCCCCTCTACCACGCTACACTACGCTATGCTACCCTACGCTATGCTATGCTATGCTACACTACCCTATCCTACCCTCCCCTCCCCTCCCCTCTTTTGCTTCCCCTCCCCTCCCCTCCCCTCTTTTGCTTCTCCTCCCCTCCCCTACACTACCCTGTACTCTCCTATGCTCCCCTCCCCTCTACCACGCTACACTACGCTATGCTACCCTACGCTATGCTATGCTATGCTACACTACCCTATCCTACCCTCCCCTAACCTCCCCTCTTTTGCTTTCCATCCCCTCCCCTATGCTCCCTGTCCCTACACTCTGCTACACTCCCCTCCCCTGCCCTCCCCTACACACCCCTACACTCCCCTCCCCTATCCTACCCTACACTCCCCTTCGCTACACTACCCTACACTACCCTACATTACCCTATGCTCCCCTGCCCTGCCCTGCCCTGCCCTGCCATGCCCTCCCCTCCCCTCCCCTCCCCTCCCCTCCCCTCCCCTCCCCTCCCCTCCCCTCCCCTCTTTTGCTTTCCCTCCCCTCCCCTATGCTCCCTGTCCCTACACTCTGCTACACTCCCCTCCCCTGCCCTCCCCTACACACCCCTACACTCCCCTCCCCTATCCTACCCTACACTCCCCTTCGCTACACTACCCTACACTACCCTACATTACCGTATGCTCCCCTCCCCTATCCTCCCCTCCACTCCCCTACACTACCCTTCGCTACACTACCCTACACTACCCTATACTCTCCTATGCTCCCCTCCCCTCTACCACGCTACACTGCGCTACACTACGCTATGCTACCCTACGCTATGCTATGCTATGCTATGCTATGCTATGCTACACTACCCTATCCTACCCTCCCCTAACCTCCCCTACACTATCTTCCCCTGCCCTGCCCTGCCCTCCCCTTCCCTCCCTTCCCCTTCCTTCCCCTTCCTTCCCCTTCCCTCCCCTCCCTTCCTTTTATTCCCTCCCCTTCCCTCCCCTCTTGTCTTCTTCCCTCCTCTTTTCTTTCTTTCAGGTATCTTCAGATCACTTCAGTCGTTCTCATAGCTCCTATCCCTGGCTGATTCGTGGGAACCCATCAGCAGCAACCAGAAGCGCTCCAGCTGCTGTGTCACTGGTCGAGGAACAGTCTCCAACTGGCAATCGCTGACTTCGTTGTGTGGCTCAGACAGGTGCCTTGCAGTTCCAGCGTGGCCTGGACGTGTCCTCTTGCTGTGTCCCCACCTACAGCGCAGTTCTGCTTAGAAGCAGCAGCAGGCTTTGGAAGATGTCCCACTCCTTCCATTTTCAATGGGTTAGCTTGGCTAGCCGGGTGGTGTCTGTCAATAGAAGACAACAAAGAGATTTGGGTTAGAAACAGCTAACTGAGTAGTTCCTTTGCACAAGGGCAAGGAATATTTACCCCTTCCTAATGGAGACTGCAGTGTCAGAGATAATGACGGGTCCTTCAGAGAGCTTTGAAATATCCCTTGGCGATGCTGAGTCCAGAGGACCAGAGGAAATCTGTCTAAAGTACGCCATGGAAGCACTCTGAATTACTTCCTAGCATAGAAGCATCTCTGCTGATACGGCTTCAGCTGGTTGCGGTGTTCTTCTTCACCTAATACCTAAATTCAGATAAGAGGTCTCAATGCAGATGGGAAGATTGAGAAATATAGAAATCACTGATGTGCTTTGAGAACTTCTAAGAACTGAGAACTACATCAATCCAATGTTGTAACATTAAGGCTTGGTTAGAAAAGTAAACGTTAAAAACAAGTAAAGGAGAAGGACAAGTAAGCTTTCTTAAAGGATCTACTGTATTTAAAGGATCTTTAAATAAGTAAATAAGTAATGAAATATATGCGCAGAGAGAGAGAGAGAGAGAGAGAGAGAGAGAGAGAGATAGATAGATATACAGAAACCTAAGAAACTGCTGCGCAGGTTAGCTTCTTGCTCTCTTTTCTCAAAGTGCTAGTGAATACAGCATCTGTGAGTGTTACAAGCATTACCCTCAGTCCACCACAGGTACACACGAGAGGACAGCCTGCAGGTTGCGGAGGCAAAGAAACTGCTCTGGCTGGATGTGAAGGGCCAAGACAGAAGTTGCTGTCAGGGAAAAGATACACAGAGGGGATGAAAAAGACGGAGTGTGCTTCCGACCTTCACAACTTCTGAGCAAGCGGAGATGAGGGTGTGGGAGAACCAAATAAGCTGTTGATCGAGAAGCAGCCTGAAGACTGTCCTTAAGCAGGGCCTTGCATTCTTTGTTTTTAGAGCATTGCTTGCCTTCAAGTGCACGATCATGATTTT